TGTGCGCGACCTCCAAAACCCCACCGCCCCCCGTGCGCGACCACCAGCAGCCACCGCCCCCCATGCGCGACCGCCAGCAGCCACCGTCCCCCATGCGCGACCCCGTGAAGAAAGAGTGAAGGGAGAGTGAGTGACGGGAGAGTGAGTGAAAGGAGAGTGAGGGAGGGAGAGTGAGTGACGGGAGAGTGAGGGAGGGAGAGTGCAGAGAATGAAAAGAGAGTGAGAGACTTTCATAAACGAAAATAAGAAAAAAGAGACGTTGAAAGCCGTTGGAGAGACGTTAAAGAGCCGTTGAACATTTATGTATAAATTGATGTCCAATTTTCAGGTCATTTCCACTCTATTTTTCACATTCAGTAGTTCATTTGCACTCTATTTTTCACATTGTGTAGTTCATTTGCAATCTATTGTTCGGTTAATTTGCATTTCATTATCCAAGTTTACGAAATTCCTATTAGTTCTAATTTTGACATGTACCCTGAACAAAACTCAATGGCTTCTTCTACAATGTACCTCTCCACAATAAAGGCTTCAGGCTGGTATTGATTCTTGACATATCCTTTTAAGATCTTCATGTATCTCTCAACAGGGTACATCTAAGATAAACCGAGCCACACAATCAAATCTCCTTAACCAAATGAACTATCAAATGCTCCATGATATCAAAAAATGAAGGTGGAAAATATATTTCCAATTGACACAAGATTGTGATTACTTCATTTTTTAACTCATCTAACTTTAGAGGGTCAATTACTTTCTTGCAAATGGCATTGAAGAATAAACACAATCGAGTAATAACAACTCTAATAGAAGATGGTAAAATGTTACGAATAGCCACAAGCAAAAGTTGTTGCATTAAGACATGACAATCGTGAGACTTTAAACCAATTAACTTCAAATCTTGCATAGACACCAGACTCTTAACATTTGAGGAATACCCTTGTGGAACTTTCACACTACGTAAGCACTCACAAAAGCTTTTCTTTTCATTTTTTGATAGAGTATGACAAGCTAGAGGCAATATGTTTTCCAATAGACTGAGGATGTAACTCAGAATGTATACCCATGTCCACCAAATCTTGTCGTGTTTTCACTCCATCTTTTGTCTTTCCTTTTATGGTTAACAATGTCCCAATTACACTATTGCAAACATTTTTCTCCACATGCATCACATCTATACAGTGTCTAACATCTAGCTTGTACCAATAAGGAAAATTAAAGAATATTGATCATTTCTTCCAGATATTTTTCTCAGTTGACTTCTTTTGCATCTTTCTGAACACAATGTTAATGTTCTTCACCCACTCATATACTTGTTCACCATTGCGCGGTGTCGAGGCAATTTCATCCTCTTGACATCCATTGAACGCTTTTTTCAATCTACGGTATGGGTGACTACGAACTAGAAACTCGTGATGCTTAGTGTATGCGGTCTTTTGCCCATGTTTCAATTGGGTATAACTTGTGTTTTCTTCACATATAGGGCATGCATAATGGCCCTTCACACTATAACCGCTCAAGTTACCATATGCTGGAAAATCATTTATTGTGCAAAATAACATTACACGTAAAGTAAATTTTCTTCACGGTATGCATCAAAGACCTCCACTCCTTTTTCCCACAACAGTTTGAATTCATCAATCAAGGGACTGAGATACACATCTATGTCATTTCCTGGTTGTCGGGGTCCTGAAATCATCATAGACAACATAATATATTTTCTCTTCATGCACAGCCAAGCAGGCAAATTGTAAATGACTAATAAAACTGGCTAAGACATGACAATCGTGAGACTTTAAACCAATTAACTTCAAATCTTGCATAGACACCAGACTCTTAACATTTGAGGAATACCCTTGTGGAACTTTCACACTACGTAAGCACTCACAAAAGCTTTTCTTTTCATTTTTTGATAGAGTATGACAAGCTAGAGGCAATATGTTTTCCAATAGACTGAGGATGTAACTCAGAATGTATACCCATGTCCACCAAATCTTGTCGTGTTTTCACTCCATCTTTTGTCTTTCTCTTAGGTACAATATCATTTTGGCGGCGCAACACACATTCCTATGTTTCTTGTATCTATTTCTTCTTAAATTCTCTTTTAGAACTGTTTTATTATTTTTTGAACGTTAGGCCCACTTCCTTTTAGCCCATTCCTTTTCTCTTACTTATATATGTAGGCATTTCTTACCTTGACGCATTTTTACTGCATCTTTAACCGCCTGTGCAATCAACCTTTCTTTTCCCTTCTTTCTTTTTCTTTAAGACTTCTTTCCCATATGGCTACCTCTGCTGCTTCTGCTTCCACCACTATACTTGAGCTTTCCTCGGCTCTAGCTTCTGCTCAATCTGGTTCCCACGTGCCTTTGCTCCTAGAGAACGCACCAGTTACTACCATGGACGATGGTACTCAACCTTTTGTCCCTATTCCAGGCATGGAAGAACCTAGCTTGAAGATCTTCAATTCTCAGGTAGTCTTGCCATTTTCTATTGTTGATGGCTCTTTGCATGCCTTTTTGGGTCCTTTTTCCGGTCAGAATAAGAAAAAGTATCCTAACACCCTGCTTCTAGAGGATGAATCTTCTTTGCCTTATATATATTCTCCTAGTATAGACCTTTCTTTGTTCTCTGATACCACCAAGATATTTCGTACTTTTCCCCCGCCTAAAGATAGACATATCCAATGGCTTGAATGTATTGAAAACTCTATGCAATCTACATGACATGAAATTGGTATTTTTGACTTTATCCAACTAGAAAAGTATGATATGAATATCTTCGACCCTTAAATGTTGCTTTCTGCTATGTTTTTCTGGAATAGAGAAACTCGAGCCTTTGAGTTTCCTTGTGGCTTCGTATGCCCCACCCTAGTTGATGTCGTGGCTATTACAGGTCTCAAACCCATAGGGGATAGGTTTCATCCCGACGCCTTCGAAGAAACTATTTCGATGAAGGGAGCTTCAATTATATGGGACAAGAAAACTTACTCTGCCTTCATTACTGCGCATCATGGTCGAGAAGATACTCTTGTTAACATATTTCCTTCTTACTCTACTGGTTATTCACTTGTGTCTTTTTGTACTCCTTCTCTTCAGGTGCCAAAATATTACTTTGTACTTGCTCAAGCTCTTCATCTCAAGAAAAAGGTATGTTGGAGCAAACTCTTCCTCGCTTCTCTTTATGCCTATCTCGATGAGGCTTCCAAAAACTTGACTCGAGAAAATAGTCCTCAAAACCTCTCAGGGCCTCTTTGGTTATTGCAACTGTGGCTGAATGCTATCTTTGAAAAGAAGTTGAAACTTCTTCCTCTTACGGCTACTATTCAATATTCCTTCGAGGGAGCGAGACTCTCAGCATTAACCCCCAAGAAGAGATCTATGGAACATTTTGCCCATTACATAAAACTATTCTCGATTTTGATGAATTTTCGATGGACTTAGCCCCTTTCATTCGCTCTGACCTTGTGGGTCCTTCTTGGCTTATTGGAAATAACCAAGTTGGCAATATCTCTCCTGATATGCTCGAAATTTGGTTTGGATTTCTCTCTTGGGATATTATATTTTCCGGGATGAAGCAAAAGGATGGGAGGGTTTATCCTTACCAACCTCAATTTTTTGCTCACCAATTTGGGTTATGCCAAATGAAACCGTTACCCCTTTATCGAAAAGATCGAATAGATTCTAACGTGTGTGTCGAAACTGGCAATTACGAGGGCTTACTGAGTTTGATTTTGAAGCCTACCACTCAACTTTCTCTCAACCCATCTAACTTTTCTCCTTCTTTCCTCGTATCGAGATGTTATCTACGTTGGTGGTATGGATATTATACTAACAAAATGTTCTCCTTTGAGGATTTCTTGAGAAGGCTGACCAACTTTTGTTTTTCTGCACAAGGCTCGAAGACTTCAAGTACTTACAAAAATCGTAACATTATTTTTCAGTTTGAACAATTTTTTAAAATGTGTTATCAACCCAATGATATGCTTCAAACTATCTTGGACGCCTCAGTACCCTTGTCAAAAATGGCACAATGAAACATTCGTTCTAATAAGGTTATTAATCCTCGAGGAAAAACTACTTTTTAAAAATTTTGTTCGAAAACTATTCCTTCTCTTCCCAATGACCTATTTGGTTTGGCTAAGTATCTAGATTATCCCCCTTGGGTCAAGACTCTCGATCCCTTGTATGAGGAGCATAAAAGTATACCCATAAAGAATCGAGTTACTAGTGCACGATGTTCTGTGTACGATTTTCGCAGATGGTGGCCCTTATGTTGGGTTGACGATTCTGTTATTTACCCTGGTATTTTTCGAGGCTGAGATCTTGTAATTTATTTTACTCCATATTTGACTTGTTGCTTATTTCTGAAATGATGCCTCCAGCTGCTATAGCCAAAAAGCTTCCTCAACATCCAGATGATGCTCAACATTGGGAAAGCAAAGACGAAGAAGCTAGTCAATCCTTAAAGTCTCGAAAAAGAAAAACTGCCTCTGAAAGACTTTTGATTCGCTCCAAGGTATCATCACTGTCCTCTGTTGGTTATAGTCTCTTCTACGTATTCTTAAATTTCATTGTCATAGGGTGTCGAAACTTCCTCGAAGAAACCTCGTGTTGACTTAGTAAGTGTTAAATCTGAGTCACTTTGGTCTCTCAAATCACTATCCATTTTTGACCTTCGACCCGTATTTTACTTTCCTCATTTTCTTTAGGTTTCTACTACTAGACGAGTTTCGAAAGATAAAGGAAAACAAAAAAATTCCTCCACTGAAACTGCATCGAACCCCATTGCCCCAACTGACAAACTTATGAAAGATGCTATGAAAATTGTAGTTCAAGTTGAACATGTAAGTTTAATTATTGTTACTTTTTTTTTTTGAACTCCCTTGGGTTTTTTTCTACAAGAGTCTTCTCAAGGCAACACCCCTTCTTTCAATTTTGAAGTTGGTACTGCTTCTGGTCAAGGTACTTGTTTCCCTTTTGAATTTTTTGAGCTAATCATTAAGTCCTTTGATTCGACTCTTTTTTAATTCACCTTGTCGTATATTTTGACTAGATGAGGAAACTGTAGTGCCTATTCCAACTCTTCAAGTTCCCTCGGTGACCTCGGATGGTGATGCTAAATCTTTCAAACCTCTAACAATTCCAATTCCTTCCGATGATTTAGATCTTATCAGATTTTTTAATGAGGAAACCACTCAAGATGATATCTTTAATGTACTTGAGAACTGGACTAGCGGGACTTCTGTGTCTGATAAATCTTGAGATACAACCTCTCACTATCAACCTTTATTAGCCTCGTTCCGCTCAAAATCCTATGTGGAAAACTTAGATCAATCTCTTTTAAATCCTCACTTTAAAGTAGAAGTGGAGCAAATGGTTGAAGACCTAAATGCCTTCCCTGACCTTCCTCCTGAAGTGACCGCGGAACTGAAAAAATTCTTCCAAGCCTTTACAAAAGCATTAGAATTGCGAACCAAATGGTCAGCTTCTTACAAAGAAGTAGCCCAAATAGAAGTAAGCACTGAAAGAGATCGTAGCAAGCTCAAACAACTAAAATCTGAACTACTTTCGATTTGGGAGTCCACTTCCAGTCTTATCCTGGAACTGATGAGATTGAAGAAAGAAGAAGCTGATATGGAGAAACCTATTGAAACTTTGCAGAAGGTATTGGAATTGACTAAATCTAAGCATGCCGCTCTTAAAAGTCAAAGCCAGGATATCATCTGGAAACAAAAAGAGTTAAAGGATGAAGGAAAAACCCTCTCTACTCACCTCTCCAAGACTTTAGAACAAAAACGGAGGCTTGAAACTTTGTGTGCCTCAAGAAGGCAAAGTTTAGAACAAGCCTATCAAGCTTTCGAGTCCTTTAAGCTAAAATTTTGTAAATCCGATTAGTATTCAGAGTAACTTTGCTTTAATACAATTTACATTGATGGAATTTCTTTAAATATTTGCCATTAATCACTTTAATCAGAGTTCGAATTCACTTCTCTGATCACGTATGCATTGTGTGAATATACCATTTTTATCACAAATGGTCCTTCCCAGTTGTAAGACCACTTACCTCGATCTCGTGATTTTTGTTCTATTGACAGGATGACTTTTAACACTAAATCACCAATCGAAAACACTTTCTTCTTGATCTTTTTATTGTATGTCTGAGCAATTTTTTCTTTTTGCTGAATGATATTTTGTACGGCTATGATTCTTTCCTCGTCTAATTGAACTAGCTCGTCATACATTAAATTCCAATAATCTTCGATTGGTAACTCGTTTTGCCTTTGTATGTGGACTGATCGCAAATTAATGTCTATGGGCAAGATTGCTTCATGGCCATAAACCAGCTTATACGGCGTTGTCTGTGTGGCAATCCTAGGCGAATTTCGATAAGCCCACAAAATTTGTGATAACGTTTCATGCCAATTTCGAGGCTTACCCGAAATATGTTTTTTAATCAACGCTATAATCACTTTATTAGCAGCTTTGACTTTACCATTCGCTTGTGCATAATAAGGCGTTGAAGTAACCAATTTGATTCCCCTCGACTGTGCATATTGTGTAACTTTTCTTCCTGCAAATATTGTACCTTGATCCGTAGTTATCATTTGGGGTATTCCAAATCGAAATATGATGTGGTCTTCAATAAAGTCTATTACTTCTTTCTGGTCTACCTCCTTTATAGGAATCCTTCCACCCATTTCAAAAAATAATCAATGGCCACAATTATATATTTATGGTTTCTTGTTGAGGGGGGATGAATCTGACCAATTACATCAATTGCCCATCCTCGAAATGGCCAAGGTTTAATGATCAAATGTAATTCGTTGCTGGCACCTTCTGTATCGGACCATATTTTTGGCATTCTTCACAACCCTTTGCAAACTCGATGCAATCTTTGAACATAGTTGGCCAGTAATATCCTTTATAAGTCCACTTCATTTCCCCCCTGCTTGATGTGCTCCACAAATACCTTCGTGTACTTCTGCCATGGCTATAGATTTTTCATGATCTCTGAGACATCTAAATAAAACTCCATCGAAACCTCTCTTGTATAATTCATTGTTCAATACCACATAATTGAGGGCTCGATATTTGACTTTCCTTTCAACTTGCGAATTTGGGTTTTGTAGATACTTGATCATCTCTTTTCTCCAATCCTGGATGGTTGAAGTGTCGATAATGAGACATTCCTGATCGCAAACCAAATCTCTTTCGATTTGAACTAAAGATTTGAGATACTTTTTACTTATTCTATACCCAGACGTTGTTTGAGCCAATTCATTTGCGATTTAATTTTCATCTCGAGGAATATGCTCCAATTGGACTTCATCAAACGAATTTAATAATTTTATCGCTCGAACCTTACATTCTATCAATCTTTCATTTGTACATTGGTATTCTCAAGTTATTTGTTTAATCACGAGCTGAGAATCACCTCGAATTATTATGTTTTTTGCCCCCAACTCTTTAAGAAAATTTAACCGAGTGATTAATGCCTCATATTCAACTTCATTATTCGAATATTCAGCTTTGGTTCTTAACGAAAACTTGGTAGGAAACCCATTAGGAGAAATAATTAATATTCCAATTCCCATTCCAAATTCATGTTTCGATCCATCAAAAAATAATTCCCATGCTTTCGTGGTAACGTATTCAACTTCTTTTATCGTAATCGAATGGTTGACGAAGAAATCAACGATTACCTGACCCTTAGTAGCTCTAAGCGGAACAAACGTTAACGAGTATTCTGTCAATGCAAGTGCCCATTTACCAATTCAAGAATGTAACACAACTTTGGACAACATATACTTGATTACATTGCTTCGACAATAAACTAACACATCAAAAGGTTTGAGATAATATTTCAACTTTGTACAAGCAAAATACAAACTCAAACATAGTTTTTCCAGAGGAGTATATCTAATTTCTGCTCCTACCAACATTCTACTTAGATAATAAATGACTATTTTGATGCCATTATTATCATCCTGCACCAGCATGCCCATAATAGTTGAGTTGTTGGCTGAAACATATAATTTTAATTTTCTCCTTTTAGATGGTGGTGCTATCACTAGAGGATTAGCCAAATAAGTCTTGATTTCTTCAAATGCTTTTTGGTGTTCTGCACTCCATCAAAATGCTTCTTCTTTCTTTAACCATAATAAAGGAGAGAACACTTTAGTTTTTCCTGAAAAATCTGAGATAAATTGTCTGAGAAAATTTATCTTACCTAACAAAGCTTGGAGTTCCTTCTTGTTCGAATGTGGCCTAGTTTCCATGATAGCCTTAGTCTTGTTTTTATCCACTTCGATTCTTTTTTGGTGGATGACGAATCCCAGAAACTCTCCTGCTGTAACAACAAAAGCACACTTTAGTGGATTCATTTTAAATCCATGTTTCCTCATTCTTTCGAAAAACAATTTTAAATGTTGTAAATGGTCACTTTTTTGTTTCGAACCGATGACTATATCGTCAATATAGACTTGTATAGACTTACCTATCACATCATGAAATATTAGATTCATGGCTCTTTGATATGTGGCCCCTGCATTTTTCAAACCAAATTGCATTACCACCCATTCATAAGTTCCTAGAGCTCTTGGACATCGAAAAGCAATTTTTGACGCATCATTAGTTGCAATGTAAATTTGATTATAACTAGAATATCCATCTAATAGGGTCATCATTTCATTACCCGCAATTGCATCAATCATTGTTTCAGCAACAGGCATGGGATACTCATCCTTAGGCATAGCCACATTAAGGTCTCGGAAATCGATACATACCCTGAGTTTACCATTTTTCTTAATGACAGGAACAATATTCGAGATCCATTCAACATATCTCGAGGTGCGGATAAACTTGGCCTTCAATAACCTCTCAATTTCTTCCTTAATTTTTCCAATTACTTGGGGAGAAAATCTTCGAGGACTTTGTTTTACTGGCTTCTTTCCAGGGATCATTGGCAATCGATGTTCTACCAAACCTCTATCTAGACCAGGAATCTCTTCGTAATCCCAAGCAAAATAATCCCTATATTCATGGAATATTCGAATAATTCCTTCTCGAAGGCTCATTTTTAAAAGCTTGCTAATGTACGTGACTTTCCTGTTTTCAACAGTACCCAGATTAATTTCTTCTAAAGGGTCTTGGGATTCCAACTTGAAATCTTCGTTTATTGATTTTTTGAATCCCAAGGGGGAATCATCAAAAATGCAATCAAGCTTTGTTTCTATTTTTGACATTTCATTCTGTTGGCTCAAGCTCTTGTCAGATTTTGCTTTGACATCTTCCAATCTCTCCAAGTTTGAATCTCTACCATGATTCTCTTGGTCATCATTTTATTTTCTTTTCTTTTTTCTTTTCCTTTGGCCGTTTCGACCGTACTACTTGCACATCCTTCCAAATGTTTCCAGGCGTCATTAGTCCCTTTGATACCTTTATAATCTTCTTCGGCCCTTGTGGCCGTTTGATCGTCTATATAGGCCAAAATTCGAGCTAAAAAGCTCGAATAATGATCTTGTTCCATCATCCTTGTTGTTGAGCCGATTCAACTTCAGCTCGATGTATCACAAATCCCCTTTTTACATCCCACAAAAAGTCTTTTTAACACCTTCTTCCTCCTCCAGAACATATGGATCGTTAGCATCAAAAGGTTTGGTTTTTGCAAATGCTGTGATTTGCTGGTCAGCAAAATACATACCTGTCTCGTACTCCTTTTGGTTTGCCTCTAGCATTTCTAGCTATTCATCTTCATCCTAGAAGAAGATTTTCTGGTGCACTGTCAAGGGTATGGCACCCATACCATGAATCCATTCTCTCCCTAACAAGACATTGAAGTTGGCTTTCGAGGGAGTAACAATAAATATCGTGGTCCTCTTCACACTACCTATTTGGACATTTAGTAAGATCATCCCCTCAAGTTGCAAGGATTTTCCTGCAAAATCAGATATAAGGATATTGTGCGGCTTCAAATCAGCTAAAGTTTTCCTGAATCGTTTCAACATTATTCGTGGGAGTATATTTATAGTTGCACCCCCATCTACCAAAACTTTGTTGGCTTCATGGCCCTCGATCATTAAAGTTGACAACAATGGCTTAAGGTGATCTTTCATTTCTTGGGTCGGTGAATCGAACACAGTTGAACTAAACCTAGGAATGACTCGAGAGATTTGGTTTACCCGCACTATTCTTGATTCATAGTTAGGATCATCGAAGAAATCTTCTCTATGTAAATCCTCCTGTTCATTCACAGATTCCATAGCATCATCATACTCTAAGGGTAAGATTGATACTACCCCACAGATATCTTCAAGGGAATCCTCAAAACCACTTTCGAAGCAATCTGTAATCAGATCCTCATCCTCTTCGGAGAACTTCTTAAAGGATTCACCCCCATGATGAGGCACAGGGATAGAAAATTGATTACCTCCAAACCCCTCGAATGTTTCTTTTCTCATTCTTTGTTGTCTTGAGTTTTGGTTAAAGCATTGAAAGGATATCTTGCTCCTCTTCCAAAACTCCCAGGCATGTTTTACATGTATTGAGGTCCTCTATATGGAGGTTTCGAATAATTCATGACTTGTTTGCCTCATCCCATACCAACATTAGGTCTCTATTGGGTGGACCATTTTCCAATTGGAACATTTGAATTTGGGATGTAAGTATTACCAAATTTGGAGGAATTGTACATCTCCATTTTTCCCATAGGGGCATTATATTGTGGCATGTGAACTTGTCGCATTGTTATCCCAGCATTTACTTTTGCCTTTTCTCGAGCCTTCTCAACTTTAAATCCTTTCATAACTTCTGATTCCTCGAAAGCCTTAGCAGTAGACCGGTCAAATACAACACTACAACGAGGGAAAAGCATCACCTCTCGATCAACATTTTTATTTCTAGCAAGAAACTCGAGCAGAGTATCACCCTCCTTGGGATAGACTGGTTCTTCTTCTTT